CATCAATATTCTCTCTGGTCTTTTTATGTCATTTGGAATCTTTGTTGCAGGATATGGTATCTTTATGGGAAACAGTGGAGATGAGGGTGAAGTTATAATCCCCCAACTCTCTAATCTTGTGTAACACTGTGTAGTGACAATAACGAGCATTCGGTTCTGTTCTATTTCAAACCATCTCTGTTCACTGTCAGTGATCCTCTAGCTGCCTATGTCAGGCCTCCTTTTTCCTTGTGTTTGCTCCAGGGAGACTGCCCACTGCGATGACTTATCTTTCATCTGGTGGCTCAAAAGGATACAACAAGAAAATCTGACCCACCATATGATTTTCAAAGCTGTACATCTCAGCTGCAAAGTCCCAAGGCATTTTTGTTCTGTAGAATGTCAGGTGCTGATTTGTCTCTTTTGCTCTTTTGATTAATCTTCTTCAATGTTTTATTGTTTTTCATTTGTAAAAACCTCTAAAGTGGCCATACTGAATGGAAGCTGGCACACAGCGTGGCAGTCTCAGCTTCAGGCGTATATTACAGTCACAATGAACGTTCACATGTTTCAGAAATGTGTAATTTGATTAAACTTAGCCTGTTTGCAAATGTCCCAGTTCAATGCTGAAGCAAAGGGAACACAATATGTAGAGCAGTAATACTTTAAGGAAGTCTTTCTCTAGGCTCAGCGTTTTCTTTGTTGTTGTTTTTCTTTTAATTTCCAAAACTTATCCTCCAATTTAAGGCATTACCCAAGGTATTTATTCTCATAAAAAAGCATAATATCTGTAAAATACTTGGCAAATATATATCCAATCTCCAACTCTAAGCAACCAGAGTTCAATCCTATCCATTTGATTCTCTCTTAACCTTGAAATATGTGGCTTTAGGTTCAAGTTGACTTAGCTTAGCTTTCACCCAGAACTCTTCCCACTCATTCTGGGTCAGTCACTCCACTCACTGTAGTGTTGGGTCCAGTTGCTCTTAACTCCTTGATCTGATGATATCTATTGAAGATATTGTAATGCATAATAAACTGCGAGGGGAAATGCAAATTTAAATTAAAATGGCAGCTGCTTCTGTTTGTGCTGCTTTCATCATGAAACATTTTCTTATGGTGTTTGCTCGAGTGTGTCAGACTCACATGTAGAGATTTTGCCATCTGTTTAAATGAGAAAAAATTCTATAAATTGTAATGGATGTTTTTGTGTCACTCAGCTTTAGCTAATATAGCTATAAAAACATTCTGGCTTGCAACAAATATTAACATGCAGGCAGTCACACTCTCCCACTCAGTGCTGTATAAAAGCTCCAACACATGGTTAGAGGTATGAATTCCACTATAATACCATATCATTATGCACTTATACCCCCTGTGAGCATTCTCAGACAAATACCGACTCGAGCACAATATCAGCAAAAGGCCTAAGAAATCCTCCCTTGAATCTTTGAAAGACTTTGCAAAAGTTTCCGTGTCCTACTGTACGCTGCTGAAATACAGATAGTGTTTTGATGCATTGCTTTGAGATGGGGAATAGGACTTTGACTTGATTTTCTTTTTTTTTTCACTCCTATATATATGTTCATTCCGATGCCTTCACTTCCATCAGTTATGGTCTGCGAATCGGTAGATCCATAGATGAGTGTGGTTCCTTACCATTAGATGTCAACCACAAACCATCACAAAGTTGCCCTGCTGTCATTCTGTCATTCCCCCACACTGCAGCTTTTCTCTTCTCCCTCTTCCCTGCTGAGCTGTGGCATTCCCCACGTACTGTTTATGGAGGCGGCGTGGCACAATGAAACAGGAAAAGTTTCCATGTGGAGCTGCTGATTGTCGGCGCGTATGGTTCTCAGAGAAGTCAGTATAAGGGGATGGCTGGAATATACCCCACAACCTTTGATGCATGTGCCTGAGAAGCTGCTCAGCAGAGGAAAATGGAAACCCGCCACAGAAGTAAGTGGAGAACAGCCTGCTGTGGCGGGATTCAGACCACTGACTGGGGGTTCCCATTATCGTCAAGTCAGAACCCTATTGGATTTCCCCCGGAAACATTTATTTCTCTCATTGTCCTGCTGAGAAGTACAGTAGCCCGTATTAAGGGAGCCTCTTAGGACTCTGAGCTTACTATCAGGTCTGAGAGAGGATTGGTGGTGAGAAAAGAAAGAAAAGTAAGAGAGTCAGTGCAAAGAAACAAAACTGAGGTCAAAATGTGCTATCTATCCCAGAGAGGTATAAGGTCAAGATGACATAAAATGACTCTGAAGTTGTGAATCCACCACTTTGTGGACTGTGATAGTCCATGTACTGTCTGGATCTATTTAATTCAGCTCACTTTGGCTCAGACTTGTGTGGTGCCAATGAAGACTCGTCCGAGTCTCTCGCATGTTGGTTTACTTTAAACTGAACAGTGTTGCCTCTTTATAGAGTTCGCCTTACTTCCTTTGAGAACTTGCTTCTCTCTAGGTTTTTATATATTGAAAGACGGGAACCAGTTGCATTGACATTTAGCAACATTTCTGTCGCACTTACTCTTCCTAGAATGCCAGTTCATGCCATTTTAAAACTTTAAAATACAGTCTGTCGTTTGTAATATTTAGATTTAAGAATATTGAATGAAAAAAGGTCAAACTCTGCTCTTTTCCTCACTAGTCTTCCTCCTTACAAAATCCTCTGCGTGAATTGCACCATCCTTGTTCAAAGTCCACATTGGTCTGCAGGAGTCATGAATTAGAGTTCAAAGGAAACGCATTAGATTTAAAGTCTTTTCACAAACGCATTTTCAAACCAGGATTGAAGTGCTTTCTTTGCACATTTAGAGGCTCCATGGGGGGGTCAGATTATTTAATCCACTGTTGATGTGCCAGTGAGAGAGACGGTAACAGAAGTTGTGTGCTCTAATATCAAACTGGTATCATGGAACTTGCCACTCTGACAAACATGGCTGTTGTCATTTATCTGAATCTGTGAGTGTGGCTGGATGTGTGCAAACACGCACGCAATGCCTGAGAACTGAACCAATATGGTTTGATTTCCTGGTTCTAGTCAAAACTCGAGCCGCAGTGTTCTGGATTTTCTGCATCTGTCTCACCTGTAATGCCTGTTTACACAAAAAAATCTGTTTCACATTTTGTTCTTGAGATCTGGTTGGCTATGCATCGAAAACTGCAGCTAGCAGAGATGTTAAATGGCTAATTGGACCCAGCAGCATTTAGTTGCCAGCAGCTACTTTATTCAGTCTGTAACTAGCTGTTGATGCCACAGTGACAGATTTTTGCTTTCACAAGTTTTGCAATGCTGAAGAAAATTCTCACTCTACACTGGGTTTGTATTTGAGTCTTTTAGTTTCTCTTACTAGCACATGGTGTTTTCTGGCTTATGAATTACTGTAGCATAAAATAAATCATGAATGATTCTGCAACAATTTCTCTACCAACAATCATTCCACAGAAGTTCTAACTTCTAACATTCTAATAGAAGTTAGTATGTTGAGGTTAGATATACCAGGAGCATCGATTTTTATTTTAATTCATTGTTTTTTGTTAGTTTGTTCTAAGGATGTTTTAACACTGTCTGTGACCTCCACTCCACAGCATTAATTTCTGACAAGCCATGAAAAATATTTGAAGGATTAACATGAAATATATAGTGATATCCATGGTCCATGGTGCATAAATCATGCTGATCTGGGTGATGTTATTACTCCTGCAGCAAGAGTGCCACCCAAACTTTCCTCTTATCCACTGACAGATGGATTAGCACAGATTTTGTACATTTTCATCAACAGTTGTTACTAAATCAGGATGACTTCAGCTTCACCGAGAGGCTTTGCATAAAAAGACTCAAGATCTGTCAGATGGATTTCCCTAATATTTCCCCTCGGGATGTTAAAACAGACAGCATCATAGATGTATAGATAGCATTCTGTTTAACTTCCACTGTCCGCCGTATCAGTCCGAAAAGAACATGAAGCTTTTGCCCTGTTACATGAAGAAACACTTGGATTATATTTTGTCTGACTGGTTTCAAAAGCATGCTGTATTGATGGTGTAAGAATGCATAGTATTTAACTTTCAATAGACTCCTATGCTTTCTGGTTACAAGGCCAAATTGACCATTTAGTCAATAAAATACACTTCAGCCAACACTTTATCTCCAGCAACTGCTCAATGGGCAGGATACGGGCTGTGAGGTAATGACTGTCTGTCTTTGGAAACTCGGCTCTGTTTAAAACATTCTGAAGCCTCCCTGGCAGCTGCTGATAGACAACCCGACCACTGAAGTGTAACAAAACCAGATACAAGACCCTGTTGCTCCCACTGGGACCTGTGGAGGTTTGTACATGAGCTTTTTATGTTATAGTTGTATGGTCACTTCAGGTCAGCTTATCCTCAGTACTTCCTCTCTCTTTGCCTTGAACATTCAGGGGGAAGAAAAATCCACCTTATTGGACTGACATTGTAGACTTCGACATTAAGTGTTGTAAAACATCAGTGCTGTACATATGTTTTAGCTGGTTTCACAGTGCTGTTTTTTGTCCCTGATCTTAAGATAAAAGACCAGAAATCTTTTATTTCTAGCTTTTACAACAGAAATATAGCTATTAGAAAGTCAACCTGCAATTTCTGGGAGAAATATTTCATTTTAAGAATATTAAAAAAAACAAGAAAATATGTCTTTAGGCTTTGAGGAAATTATGCTGGAGTGAAATAAAATGCATTTAATCAAGCCAAACTCTATTTCCAAGTGGAAACATTAATGATTTATCATCAATTATTTTATGATATTGATTTCTTTGTCTTTGGTCAATGATAAGTTAGATTTAGGAAAACTGCCTTCAAACTCAGAGATCTGGATCTGTTTAGAGAGAGAGTGTGTGTGTGTGTGTGTGTGTGTGTGTTTGTGTTTTAAAATCTGACAACACAGAGGGAAAGGCAGCAGAAAGAAGTTTCATGACTTACACACAAAAAGTGACTATGGATTATGTGTTTATCTTTTATTCCATTTTCACTTCTCAGAAGTGCAGGAAAACATGGCAGGTAACCACATCAAAGAAAGAGGTTTGATTGGTAAGGGCAGGCATATATGTTGGAGGGAAGATAGGCGGTTGCATAGAAAAGGCAGCAACAATTCAAGATAAAAGCAAAGCTGTGTCTTTGGTCTCATCTGCCAATGTGGTTTGGATTGGACAGGGAAAGTGATTGGGCCTTCTGTTATAATTTAGTCTGCTCTTCAATCTTGGTTCTTCACTGTCACTCTCATATAAAATCACATTGGCCTTTAACTGTGTTAGGTTATGGTACATTAGTCTAAATCTATTATACATCAGCACTTTACTTCCAAATCAGCCTCTGCACAGGGAGTACTTTATAATGTGAGTTTCATTTACAGCAGATTTTATGTGCTTTTCTTTTCTTTAGACTTTTCCATCCTTTGTATTAATTTGAGTCAAGGACAGTGATGCTGTAATTCTACCACATTTAAAGAAACCTTTCTATTTCACTCTTTATTCTATCTACTCTTTATTCTTATCTATTATGAACAATGGGTAGAGCAGGGAAAGTAGCGTAATAGGAGCATGCTCGTATTCTAATGGGGTGTCAAATTGTCTATATCCAACAGATAGCGGGTCTTGTGTTTCAGACCTGAAGATATGAGGTAAACCAACAATATAAAGTGATCACAAACCAAACCTTTTTTTTTTTATTTAACCACAAGCAGTCATCCTCTTGGGAAATTAAAATATTCTGATCAAAGACCAAAAATACAGCTGTGACATCCTTTGAAGGCAACACACTACATTGGACCATCTGGATGATTTATTTATTGACTGAATGACAGAATGAAAAAAGCATTGTCTCTCTGGATGAAGATCATTTACGTGGATTGGCTGGATATGTCTGTGATTCGCTCGATCGAGGCTTATCTTGGCAGACACGAGTGTGTTTCTTAACATGCACTTTTCCTTTTTTTTCTGGTCCTCCCACAGAGTGAAGTTGAAGGAAGGCGTGGCGTTTCTCGGGGCTCGTCCCAGCAACCCCACTCAGTGGATAGTGAGCCAGGACTTGAGGAGCGAAGGCCATCGAGTGGTGACCCTCCACTGCCGCAGGAAGGAGTCCAGTTATGACCAGCGAAGGTCAGCACGTAAAATCACACATCTCTCATATGTGTCAATATTTTCTCACCGATGACCTTTGGAAGTTAGGATTCTAAAAAAAAAAAAGTTTCTGTGCAGTCAGTTTCCTAAAACATTTTCTCTCAGTTCCGTCACTGATGTTTCACATTTCTCCAGACACACACAAGCAGTGAAATATACAGCGTGAATGGATGTCCAAGTGATGCTCCCTCTGCCGGAATGACACACTTGACTTGACATAACCATGTGGAGCAAAAAGTTGACTTTGGCAGTATCTTCTTTTCTCCCTCGTTTTCCACTCTCTTGCTGTCCATCCCCTCCCCGTCTCTCATTTTATTTGCATACTTATTTTCTCCTCTGCCGTGCCTCAGAGTTGTTTTGACCATTTCCAATCTGCATCCACGTCCTTAAACTAATCTGGCAGATAGGGAAATTATTTCCAGCACGAAGGAAAGGTTGCTGCGTTAATTAAGTGTTGATTGAAGGCCTTTGTGTGTTTTAATGGTTTTTCCTTCTCGGATCAGGAAGTAGTTTTAATAAATCTAACTTTCTAGTGACAGGTGTAATTTTATGGATTAGAGTCAGATTTGGGTCTGGGAAAAGCTTACTTACTTGCTCTTTAGCTTCCGTTCCACTTAGACAATTTTAAACCATTCCCGTAAGAAAAAAAAATAGGCTCTTGACATTGCAACTGCAACTTTATAATCAAAGTTATGCAGGGAGTTATTTAAGTGTAGAGCTCCATGTGAATAATTGGAATCTGGGTGTAGTGACTTTTATCTGGTATTTTCTGCTCTTAGTGATGCTATTATTGGTGGGTCATCATAAGTAATGATTATGGTGCAGTGGCATTACAGCACATGAAACACAGACAGTGTGTGAAAGCAACATAAGCATTTTCATTCACATGGAGCAAATTGCTTAAGAAACACACACGTCTGTAACATTAAGAGTTGCAGCTTAGTGGCGCCGTGTCCGTTGTAGATGATCACTCAAAGTTATCAGGGCCATGTCTTCTCGGGCACAGTTGGAGCTTTTCATAAAATTCAGCAGGACTTAGGCTGACGTTATGAACAGCCAGTTCCAACCACAATCTAACCTTTGAGCTCAAATTTGCCTCGACAATAAATGACTTTTTAGACCCTCTGTTCCTTGGTGGAACAAGTTCTGACAGTTAAAGCCAATAAAGGGAAAGTTTTGGTCCGATGAAAAACTTACACTACAATCCGAATCCGAGTGCAGAAAATCACCATTTTTGCTCGTGTCTCTTCTGTATTCTCATATAAGAATAATTTTTCAAATCTGTAACGATGACTTCAATGACGAAACACAGCTACAAATAGAAGTGGCAGTGACAAATGCATGCGAAGAGGAGCTCTGCTTTGAGACTATTTCTATAATAAGATTTCAATCATATTATTTGGATTTGCTTTTGTGTTATTTTCTACTGGATAGATAAAATGCATTTAGGATTGCTTTGATGGCTGGCATTTGAACGATAACGGTAATACATTCAGTGTGAGTACGTGGAAAGGTATCATGTATGCCATCTGGATCAACATATCCTTTTAAAACCGCATTAATCATCCGTCCAAATGTGTCCATTCTGATTGATATGTCATATGTTCTGGATGGGCTGCCGGATATTGAACAATGTCCTCAGGAACATTCAGCAAACTGCAGCATTAAGCAGGATCGCTCACATGGCTCCTCCTCCATGCAGGTGCTTGTCTCTCGGCTGTCTCATTGCATTTTCTCTGACACACACACAGCATATTACTGCTGTTAAATTATATTTCATAGATTTCTTATGTGGAGAAGCCAGAGAAAAGAGTGGGTGCCGTCAGCCCAATCCCTGCTGTTCGGCTTGTCTATATCACACTGTTCATACCAAAGACATATCACGATGATATGCAATACACTATTCCCCAGTTTTCCATTCGTCTGGCCCCCCTTGCTCCCAGTCATTTCAATAAAGCCCTTTTTAGAAGGAGATTAGACATAGGTATCTCATCTGTTGAGCTGTCAGTCTCTCTGCTTTCTTCTCTCTAAGCATTCTTTCAGAATGGCAAGAAGATGAAGTGTTTGAACGTGATAGGTCAAACAAGTATGGATCCTGTTTGCATCTCAGTCTTTGTTCCCCACAGCGGTGCTACATGCAGCTCCTTTTATAATTACATCAGAAGCTTTCACATATAGCTTTGAGTTAAGATGATAAATGTAACCGAACTGACTCATTAACTGTTTTCAGCAGCATTCAGTGATGAGTGTTAAATTATATAACATATAATAAATTACATAATCAATAGGACGAGTTCAAATGATTTGGCGGAAGTTGATTCATCACAAGGAACATATGTGTCACATCACCCTCTATTGGGAACAGCTTAGAGACTGAAAACTTTAGTAATCTTATGGTATTAAATCAATCACATCTTATAATATAATAGTATTAAAGCTAAATGTAAACACAACAGAAGAAAATTGACAATACTTTGCTTTCAATTATTCAGAATTAAAACATTTCAAAATCTTTTTCTTATTAATGTATTTGGGTTATAAACTGTTATTGTTTATTGCAGCACATTATAAGAAGGTATTGTTATGCTATGTGACCATAATGTGCAATTTTGATCCTTACCATTGGGAAGCAACCAAAGGACACGTGTTGCTCACATGTATAAACGGGAAAACAAATAGGCAACTAAAAGCAATCTCACAATATTAGTCATCCATTAAGTTTCTCCCACTGTTTTCTTCTAAATTTAAGATGGCTTTTTTTTTCCATTTGAAGCAAAATGTCAGTTAATAAGAAATAGAAGACCCAGCAACCGGTCACCACTGAATTTAGCAAAGGTGCATTTTTACTCACACAAAACTTCTTGTGGGCTTTAATGTTTTTCTTGGGGCGCTATCTCAAAACATTGTGTTGTCTTGACATTTTGGACATTATAGATATTGAAAAAAAGCTAATACACACACACACTGAGCATATTAAATACTTAAACCTTTGATAGGACCTTTGATTGTCAGCCAGCGCATACAGTACATGCAGTATTGTTTGTGTGAGGGCTAATTGTGTGTGTGTGCGTGTGAGTGTTAGTGTGAGCCCAACCCCACTGCACACATGAGAGCGCAGCATTACTGATGGGTCAGGTGTAGTCAGTGTTCTGGTTCAGCCAGTCACTTTGAGCCGCTCATTCTTGCCAGCTGAGCCACTCCCGTCTGTCCATTCACAGCTGATGCCCCAACGCAACCTGACTGACCGTGAAACAGATTGCTTACTTGTATCCATCATCTGTTTTGTCATCATCTGTTTCGCAGATGCACATCATGTAAGATTTTGCTTTTATTTAACAAATTAAAAAAAAATAATAATAATTCACACAGTACATTCTTGTGCAGAGTTTGGGTGCTGCTCTTCTGCTTTGCATGCAAAAATATTCTGCAAGCACGTCTGGCTAACAGCATCTTGCATAACAAAAGCAAAAGAGTAGTGACAGGTTTTCATCAAAGGGTGCTATTGTGTGAAGACGGGTTTGGCTTTTGTCTCCAGTAATTGAACTGAATTCACCCCGACGGAGACGTCACAGAGCAGCAGGTGATGCTTCTTTTGAATTCAATGAAAAGAATCCATCGAACATCCAGGATTTTGGCAGTGGTCAGTTCAATAAAAACCTTGATCTGATCCAGTTGTAAAACATGATAATGAGTCTTGTTATCACAGACATTAACTAAGAGTTAAACTTCAAAGTTTAGAGGCCAATGATTCTTTTCTTACAATTTCTAAACCAAATCTGATTCCAGTTGTTTCGGGCCTGAAACGAAAAAGCCTTTTTTAAATTTATTTTGACATTTAGCGGAGACCGTTTATTTCTTGTCATTATGACAAATCCTAATTTTATGGGGTTTAACGCAACAGTTTTTTTCATCATGAGGTAAGACAGTTTTGTGTCTTCGGTTTGCATTTATGACCTCATATAAATGCTGATTGTCCTGTACTCCAACAAAATTCTGTGGCTTAAACACTGCAGCCTTTCTGTGATCCTTTTAGATTATCAGTGGCAGGACTGCAGTCTGTCAAAAAACTGAAAATGTGTCCCAAGAGAAAGGGACAAAATGTTTATGTGGAGCACACATAGTGTGGCTGAAATGCACTTTGGTAGATTGAGGGTTCACTTTGTCACCATTAAAGACAAGCTCATTTAAAACAAAAGCAGTCCTGCTTCCTCAGCATGTCATAAGCCATAAGTGGAGGCTTCTGTAAAAGTGCCATGTCTTAGCCTTGGTTGTTCATTAATGCTGTCTGGGTTCAAATGGATCTCCTTTGGCTTCTGCCATACCATTAATCCCCCACACCACACCACACCCTCCCAAAGGGGAGCGGGCAGTCCTCCCATTACAGCCACATCACAAGATGGGCAGGACCACTCGGCTGGCTTGTTTTACATTCTCTCAATCAAATCTGCAAAGCGTTCTAAAGACGATAGTTAAATCAAAGAAACATTATTTTGCTGTAAATTAAAATGAATTTTCCATGAAAGCAAAGTTAAATCTCATCAGTGTGAACAGTTAGGATCCCAGTGGGAAAGAAGTAATATATCAACACAAAAATGAATTCTATTTAGCAGCCACCTAATAATTTGTTTCAATTACAAATTCTAGCTAACCATTCAAGAACAGAATTATTTATAGATTATACATTTTCAGTAAAACTGACTCCAGCTAGCCTTTAAAGTCCTCTTAGACACTTGAAAAAGATTAATCTTACATAGATGTGTCATTCTTTCTAAGCTATTTTAGGGTCTCAAAGAAGCTGAAACCCATATGCACCTTATGACAATGAAATGAAAAATGTTGGGTTCCAATACAAATGACAAGGTCACTTATATAAAAAATGAGCAACAATCTTTTCACAATAATCAACAGCTCTTTGACTTCAAACTAGCTTTGATTTAATGTTGGCTGCTGAATTCTTGTCATATCTTTTTAATTAATTATTTTTTTTAAGAAATCAGTGTACAGCAGTTCCCAAAAACTGAGCCACATCCTGTGGACTTAATGCTGCATAATGCTACATTAATCAGGGCAGAAATGAACTGGCCCAATTACATTAGAATGTTAACTTGACAGTCTTAATGCTAACACTCTTAATAATGAATCAGCCCCATTCCCAGTGGCTCCTATTTGCCAATAAAAAAAACCATGTGAAGCCACATTCACACTATTTACCAACACACAACAGTCTGCACTGCTTTTGTTTTTGTCTCTTATTAAAAGAAATGGGATGAGGCTACTACTAATTTGCAACATCCCAGATGTGTCATAACTTTTATGATGATGCTAATGTTTCAGACAAGGTAAAGAAAGGGAGAGTTTAGTTCATTTCAGTTGATGAGACAGGAAAAGTCCAACTGTTTGTAATTCAGTAGATGTAATTTGATTTTCTTTAATAGCAAAGGAACAGGGATTTCACCCCAAGATAGCCAGCTCATCACGATAGTCAGGCCACAGTAGTCCAGACTGCTCATATGTCCCAGGGAAACAATATGAAAGCATCTCCCACTGAAAGTGTCTGCATTTTTTCCTGTAACAGACTCAGTAAAGAGGATTTGATCTGAGCTTTCTACATCTGAACCAAATTCCCATTAAGTTAATTGAACATATTCTCAAAGTGGATTACATTGGTAACCTGAAAAACATTTTTAGTGACATAAAGAGAGATGTCAGGTTGCACAGATGCTCAGATTCACTGATATCATACTATCAGCACCATGGGGTATTTAGCTGATATACGGTGGAGAGACAGATTAAGGTTTGTGTGTGTGCCAGAGTTCATGTCTCAGATTTATAAAGGTTTATGGGTAAGTATTGTGCCATTAGGAGTTAATCCCTAGAAGGATTACATCCTGGCAATCAGAATTGGATTTTTTGTACTTTCAAATATTTTTCCTGTATTTTTGTCATTTAGGACATGTAGAATTAAATTGTAGTTCTCGTTTTTTTGTTTAATATTTTGTATTGTTTCTGATGAATAGAAAAATGTCCTAGCATATTTTTCTAATTTGTTACAGTGCCATTTGGATTATTTTCCCTCAAACTAAAAATGAATCACAGTTTGCATCTATTCCACCAAAACATCCAGGAGGTGTTAGTGTGGAGACACCCATAGACTAAAGTCTAATTCTGAGCCATACATGAATGAACATCTCCTCTTTATTAACATTGTTTTCACTTGAAGGAAGAGAGCTTTTGTGCTTGCTTTATCTTTTTTTGTTTCTCAAAAATAAATGTATGAAAATTACTCTGCAAAATGTTCCTGATATTTTCTGTGCAGACATCCATGGTTTAGTTCCAATTAGACCTATGGTTAGAGCCAAACTGTTGCTGTTGTTGCTGTGCTCACTGCAGGTAGCACTCAGTCAGGGGGAGAAGAGCTTTCTGATGTAAACATGCAATTGTCTGCAGGCTGTCTGACAAGCTTTCTGGATGTCTCTCCCGCACAACTGTAATTACATCTTTATAGTGTCTATTATTTTATAAGTGCTTGGTTGGAATTGCATTGCAATGAGGGATGCCTCATTCCATGCTCCACCTATGATGTCGATGAGCAGGGCTGTGAGAAAAAGTTCCACATATCTCCAAGGTTTTCATTCAAATTCCTTTAAAGACAACCTCTCTGGTAAATTATTATCTATCTGAATAGGTAAAAGAACTCTTGGCTCCAATTAACCTCAGTTAAACTTGGCCTTCAAGACATACTTGCTCAAGCATCAAGACTGTCTCATTTCTTTACCCTGAACAATAGAAATATTCAAATGATCCTATTAAAACAGGCCTTAGGCCGTTAAGAAAGGTACATAGGCTGTAGTTGGTAAAACATATATATATATATATATATATATATATGTAGAGAGAGACAGATAAAGAGAGAGAGAGAGAGGGAGAGAGAGAGAGAGGGAGAGAGAGTGTTTTTTCATTGTACAAAGGGCTTCTAAAGAACTCATCAGACAGCCCTCCTTCAGTCAGAAATAAATTCAATCAGCCAAAGACAAACAGAACAGGTGTGCATCACATCCTTTCATCTGCAAAGTTGCATTTGTGCGTGCCAACACTGACAAACAATATTTTTGCCGCCTTTCTCCTAAGCCGAGCAAGTTGAAAACACAACTATGTCCGTCCGATAACAGGCAAAGGGAAAGCACGGTGCCACCAGAGGAACCTCTCCCCTGCAGCTTGGTGCCTGTTTAGCAGGACTTACTGGCCCTGACATGTAATCAGGCGGTGCGCGCACCTCAGTGGGCCTCTGGGCTATCAGTTGTGGACCCTGAGCACATCAACACACCAGGAGAAGCGGACGTGTTCTTGCCTCAAGATGAGATGCCGCACTTTGTACATGTCACCTTTCCTCCTTGAGTCTACACACACACCTCGGTGAAATTGTCTCCTTTTTTTTACACGCAAACACGCACACACACACACCGATACACGTGTTGTTGTTGAAAGGATCTGAATTTCAACCTGAGGTGATGGGGACGCATTTAAAGCAGTCTTCGGTTTTGTGGAGGCATCTCTTAAAAGAAGCGCCACAGAAGTTCCTCATGTTTTCCTCCCTTTTTCTGTGAATGTCTGCAAAACTCCATCTTACAGGCTCCCTGCAAACAGCTCATTCTGACCGAGTCAAAAAGTTGTCCATAATTCTTTGATCTGCCTCAACTCGACATGCTCAAACTCTCGCAGGCTCTAAGTAGGTGAGCAACATTGCATCACTCCACTGAATATGTAAATGGATGCCATTAAAGCTCTCTTTCTTTAATTAGTCTTTAGATTTCATGACTGAGTGGTTCCAATTATGGATCAATGTCTCATTTCTGCTCACATACCCCTGGGTGTGTGGAAGCAGTTTTTCCTTTACAAAACGCTTTATAATGTCTCCACTGCCAAGAAGGTTGTGCATCGTTCTGCCCAACTGCAAATCAATGGGAAATGTTGCTGCTTTGAGCCCACACACTTTTGTGTGCTGGCACTATGGAAAAAAAAAAAAACACGACCAGAGTACTCCAAATATGTGTTGTGATCAATGAAACAGTCTTTCTGAATCTCTGCTGGTCCTTTATGCAACATGGGAAATAAAGTGGCTTTGTGTGTGTACAATGTCTCGGGTAGTAATTTAGCGCTGAGCACATTAAATGGTGCACAAGAGGGGAGGGGTAAACACAGCTTGATATATAAATGAACTCCTGACAAGTAGCTGGGAGTGTTGTGGGAGGAGCTGATCACACACTTTAGGATGGTAAAATGCTACTTGTGGATAGTAACAATAACATTTAAGGTACCAGGGCTCAGCTCCCACAGCCCATGTTTGCTGCTCTAAAGGTTTTATCAGCCCAGAACAATTCATCGTCTTAATGTTAATTGTATTGTGTGTCAACAAATAAGCAATAGATGGCGGTTATTGTAAAAAAGAGAACCAGTGTGTGGATCTCTGTGCGTTTGTAATTTTTAAGTAAGACTGAATCTCACTGAGTCTCTTAATTACATCACATATCTGTGAAGCAGTAGTCACTACATTAATGGTGAGGTACAGAGCAATCATGGCCACACAGCCTCCACATAACTTCCTCACCAACACTGTAATTATCCCAAACAAAGCCGTCGTGTTTACACTTAGACCTTCTGGTTCTGAAAACAACAGAAGTATAACTTGAATATTTAAATGTGAGTGTGACAATATGCCCCCCAATCTACACATATGCATTTTTGTGAACATAACCACCATTTTATTGATTTTTTTTTAAAGCTGTGCTTTTTTTTTGGGTGGGGGGGGGGTTGTTTTATGTTGTTAGATGGCTCTTATCTTCCTTTGCTCTTGCGGCAAATTCGACATCTGGCTCTGCTGTCCTTATTCATCAGTGACCTGTTTCCAAAACACACACACCGTAATATGGAGCAGATCCTTTCTGCGACTCCCCCTGTGACATTCTTTTTCTGTGTGCCGCGGAGCCAAAGCTTAACCCTGCCCATCCCACAAAGGGGGTAAATCCTAGGTTGCGATAGAGTGCCATTGATATGATTCTCTGAGACCTCTCCGGTTCAATGACTTTTGTGCGCTTTCCAGGTTCTGTTGCTATGCCAACAGTGGCAGAACTGAAAGGAACCGGGTTTTTTTGTGTGCCGTTAAGGACCTTTCTGAGGAGGACAGGCGCTGCCAGTGTCACAGCACCTGCAGGTGCGAGTACAGGCCCGGACGGTCACATGATGTCACCCACAGATAAACCAGGGGTGGCCTGTGGAGGCGTGGGGGAGATTAGTTCATCCGACAGACATTTCCACAGCGCCCCAGGGCTCAGTGTCTGCTGCCCCCTAGTGTGCGTGTGAATGAGTCTTCTGAAGCTTTTGCTGGACATTCCCTGTGGCTAATGCCCCATTATTCAGCCTTGAGATGAGTGCTCTGATATGGGGAAAATTGAGTGTAACTCTCAGGACAAGTAGCAATTTATTATATTGCAATTTGCTATTTAGACAACTTTTTCTGTGAATGAGACAGATATAGAGTGCGACTGAGTGAGAACTGATGTCTGATGCAAAAAAGGTCTGAGTTCACCAGTGATGATAACTGCCATCATTAGGGATCCATTACACTGTGGAGCCTACTTCAGCTGATGGACTCTAATGATGATGCGCTGCAGAAAGGCATTTAGTTTTGATTAGACATTGGTGGAATGGTGCATTTCATTAACTCGGGGATGAGATTTTGTTGTCTGGAAAAGATATGCCACTGCTAGAGCCCAGGCTAATACACTCACTGTGCCCTGTTTTCCTCAAGGCAATGAGGAGCGATATGCAAATGTAATGAAGGAGTATTCCCCTCCTGACTCTCCTCTGGCGTTGCTGCCTGTGTATCTTTATTTCCATTGCCTCTAAAAAAAAAAATTAAAAAAGAGAGAAAAAAGGATAAACCTGAAGGTCTACAAAATAGCGTCTTTCTTACCATCACTTCACTATGTTATTACGACTGTTTAAACTATTATTCTCTTTCATTCTAATCAAACCTATATGCTAACTAGGCATTATTCACAGAAACAATTGATCCTATTGATAAAAAACATCAAGCGACAAAAGTGCTGATGTGTCCAGAACAAGTCCACGTATGGATTTAGTAACTTAATTTTCCATTCTGGAAGTTTATTTGGGAGAAAGTCCAGCAGAGGTTAGAGAGAGTATAAATCAGATTAATTGTTTGTTGGAGTTGAATATTTACAACTGATGTAGAGAACTGGTGAAATAATCAGAGAATTCCTCCCTTCGCTGGCTTTGATGCGTACAAGCCAGAAGCCCTCAGTTTGCGTTCACACATCGTTATAATCACATAATTAATACATTCAGACTTTTTTGTCTGTGTGCATGCTCAAAAGGGGTAAAGAATAAATGATTAAATTAAGGAGAATCTCACGCTTATTAAAAATGGATTTTAATTTAGGCATTGTAGGTTATTTGAAATGTAACAGCCCAATCCTTTTTTAATCCGCCCCTGGCGAATAACATCAGTGGAAATTGCAATTCTGGGAGTATTTCTTCCCCTTTAGCAAGAACAGAATGGTACATCATGAAGCACCTGTTCAGAGTGTACATGGGTTTTCAAGGTATATTAAGCCTTTACTGGATCGTTGGGTAGAAGTCATAAAAGGTTGGGAATTATAGGGGCACATGCAACAGAAGTCTAAGACCAGAAAGGATCCAGGAACGTTCATGTTTAGTGACCTCACAGTGATCATCCATTAGGATAATTCACAAAAGTAAGTCCAGCTGTCCAGTCTTTTTAAGTGGTAACAACTTCCAGGTGAAAGACTGTAAGTGGCTGTGACAGAAAGTCAGGCAGCAACCAGAGGGAAGGACACAACTCCTACAGGGTACAGAGAATGGACATTAGGAACAGGAAGGAATCAGGCACAGAGAACAACAAAGTACCAAAACTTAGAAAATTGACAATCCAAATATAGTTGTTAAAGTTGGTAAAACCCTAAAGGATCATCTTTAGAGGTTGATTGTTATTGCTTGCATTTTTTCTAAATTTAAGTATTAAAACCTTTGGATCGGGATTGTAAAAATGCCCTTCATTAGGGTGAAAAATACTCTTTGTGATCGTTAAGGTGAACCTTTTTTCTTCTCCATCATCCTTCTCCTTTTTCTAGGCTTGATAGGTTTGCAAAAGAAGAAACAACAGTCATATTTGTGGAGGAAGACATGCTACATGTTTTGATGGGTGTGCACCAAAAAATGCAAAATAAAAGAAAGCCGTCTGTTGAATCTTTAAAAAAGTGCTAAAACTGAGATCATCTGGATCATTGAAATTTTAGTCAAAAATTATACTGAGGCTACACAAGTCACTGCCAGTAGAACGGTTAGTAAAGTGAGGTTATGCTACATAGATTTTGACACTTAAACAATAAATTGTGACTGACAGCGTGTAGCTGGCAAGCTGGGCTCTGTGTTGAATACGTCAATTTATCTCAGGGTTAACTTCAAACCACTTACAGATAAGTTTGATGACCATACCGCACAGTAAAGCATGAGTGGATGTTTCTCATGAGGAATCTGGAACAGTATGAAGTGACCAATGTTTGCTATTTCAAATCCAGGGTTATTTTCACCCCTACCTTTAAAACAAAAATTTGTAGAATCCCTGCGCAACACATTCTCTATTTTATTTGTTGTCGTTCACAGAGGTATATTATGACAGAAAGTCTTTGTGTCAGGTGTATTTCTTTGGGCATCTTTGACAAAATGATCCTAATGTCAGGGATTCTCTAGCTGGGCTGAGTCTTAAAAGGTAACAAAGGCATTGGCATTATTGATATACAAACATTTTGCACACACATGGATCTTTATAAGCATATACATGCATGTATATACATCCATAAGCTTGAATGGATGTACATTCAGGGGCAGCTGGATATTAGATTTTTTTATCAAAGGTAAATGTGGTGCTGGTTTGTATGTCATATTGACTGGGTAATGTTGGGTGCAGGTGCCTTCCATCAGCACACTTTTTACAGATGTGTTTTTCTACAGCTCAGCTTCAGGAGAGGATAGAATGTAAAGAACTGCAAAGAAGCATCATTTATGTCAAGGAAAAAGTTTTAAAAAAAACATTGTTACTGTGAGCTGTGCATTGTCTTCGTACTTAAAGGGTACTTTAATTCACTGAGAAAAGTTATTTTCACACTTATACAACCAGGCTTTGAATCAGGGGAAAGCTGAATGTTACTGTCTGTTATAGTGTAAATTCTGCCCTATCCAGGGCACTGATGTTATAGTCATGGTTACATAGCTTCACATATACATTCACATCCTCACATGAGTTTATTCTTTTACCATTTTCTATCTTCGTCCTAAATCCTAAGTCCCTTGTGGCCATGACTATAACTCCACAGAGCCAAGAACTCCTGAAATAACAGTGGCAACTTCACCTCACTGATATTTATCAGCATTATTCTCCCTCCTGTCGTCCCTTTAGTTGACAGTGTTTCAGGCGGAGTTTCTATCTTTTTGCTCTTATCTCTTTTTCTCTTTTGTATTTCGAACAAGCCTGAATTGAAAAGGTGTGGGATTTTTTTCCCCTTCCTGCACTGCTCTCCCTGCTGCCATGGCCCCCTTTAGCTTTTCTCCCTTTTCAAAGCAGACTGCAGATGACTGGAAATATATGTTTAGAGTATAAAGACATCAGGGGATATATTCCACTGGCTTCATTTTCTCTGCAAAATTTCTAGGGGTTTGATTTTCTTCCGCCAAGGCTCTCCCCTCTGCACTCAAACTCATCTGTGAAATTAGACTAATGATACAAAAATAATAAGTATCCATGGAAACAGTTCCTATGTATTTATTCTCTTTACTTTTTGACACTGTGCACTTTTTTATTGTTGCCCGCACTTTGATTTTGGCTTTTGAATGTATCCATGACTACAGTACATTCAGGCTCAGGGTAATTTGCTTTGATTGCAGAGTGGCTAATCAAAGGTTTGAGAAAATGTGACTGAGCTCCCCTCAGAAGCAAGATGGTACCTCATGCTGCGATCATTGGAGTCCTTTTGCAGAAATCAGTCCCGACCAGGGGGCTCCGACCCCTGATGTGGATGCTGGTTGGTAGCCGCCCAAGAAAATTCACTTCTAATTGACAGCCCTCAGACTGAGAGATTAAATTAATCTGCAGCTTCCAGAAATCACAGTTGTGTCTCTCAGCTGTTGTCCAGCTGTTACTGTCTAACATAATTTTAATCCCATGTCCATCATCACATGAAGCTGTATTTTGATATTTTTTACCACCAAAATGTTTAACATAATATACAGACATTCAGATGATGGCTTATTTTAGGAAGTTAAATATTTTATCAGCAACTTTAAAACAAAAAACTTTTTAAATAGGATGGTGGAAGTGTTTTTTGTTTTTTTTTGCTAATTGCAATCAATTTTAGTCATGAATGTTGAATAGATTTTAAAACTTTTAATTGGTCAAAACAAGACATTATAAACAATTTTGAGGTATCCTTCAACAAATTTTTTATTTTATTTAGAAATGCAGAGATCCAAACCCTATAAATAAGGTGATTTGGATAAAATATTTATAACTCATGCAGCTGTAATCAATTGTTCAGAAATATTTATTCTGTTCTCCAGTGTATTCTCTGTCATGCTATTTGTTTCTTACATTTTCTTTCCTGTACATGCAGTCTAAAGTTATTATTCCCTATTCTGCAGTACTTGTTGTTTTGTTTTTTTCACTTACAGCCTTAATTAACTCATTACGCACTGTAAGATAAATGTCACATGGAGAAACATGGCATAGCTCACTGGAAATTAGATGCAGTGGATAGAGAAATGTGCTTTTCAGTAAAGTCGTTTTCTTAAAAGTCAAAGTAATCAGAAATTGATTAAGTTCAAAGATCACAATCTAAGATAAAGCTTTGCGAGTTTTGGCTTTAGCAGGTGTATTTTTGTCAGAAGATGATTGTGAAAATGTTTGAGACTTGAAAAAGTCTAGCTCTTCACACAGTAAAGCAGGTGGAGGGCTGTAAGCGCTGCATGGTTTTTAGATTTGTGTCTTATGGATGTGGGGCAGACCAGTGTTTGCTTGCAGGGAAGTGTTTTGCTTTCAGGAATGTGCCACTGTACCATGGGCTGTCCGTATGCACATTGTTTATTTGTCTTTTTTCCACGTGTGTGTATGTGCATTTGTGTCTTAGCTTCATTCTG